AAGCTAAGAATGCAAGCAACTCTCCTTTCCGGTCCGAAAATGTCGTTGCACTCTCTAAGGACCACTTTGACCGGATTTGTAAGAGTGTTTTGACAAGCAATATATTCTCTGGTTTGCAACCGCTCTCCGATCACTGATGGAGTGAACCAACCTGGCATTGCACAAGTTGCTCTGACTGCTTGAACCACAGTTACATCGATAGGGGCTTCAAATGAAGTTTTATATGTTCGAAATAATTGGTTCATGCTTGCATCTGTGACCGGGGAGGCACACACAAACCTGCTCATAAGATCAGCATCGCAGCCCACTCCACATTTTATAGGACTAACGTTCTGCAGCGGCTATTTATTGCTATTACATCATCCAACAGCTTAGAACGCTTTTTGAGACCCTTTTCCTCTAGTAATACCCTCATCATCGAGTCAAGACGAGAAGTATTGGTGGCGATATGGGCGTCGATCCGACTGGTCGATTCAGATAAGATTTTAGTACTCAATTCAATATCTTCGGGAGATTCTTGAAATGCGTAGCGCCAGATATAGGTGAAAGTCCTCGCTGCTTCGTCGGGAGACATCCGAAGGACACCAAGTAGTATAGCAATCAGTCTATTACATGAGTTCCTTCAGAATTTTGGATATGTCTATTGATTATTTGAACTCACCCTCCTGTTCCTGCGCCACCAATCACATCGAAATATTGGCATGGTAAAGGTGGAGGGTCCATCTGTCTTGCAAATCCAATACGGTTCATAAATTCCCGCAGTATATGCAGCTGAGATAATGCCCTGATGTCGCCCCCATCTGTGGGAAGGTCGTTAGTCAAAAAGCCGGGCGGCGCCTGCTAAGCTGACCGAGCACCAAGAGACGTAAGCCAATCTCGTCGACGGTATCCATAGATAACAATTCGGAGTGCTACAGACGTGAGGTAAATAATGAGGGTTCAAAGATAGAGATTTTGTATCCTGGAAGGGAAGAAGCTTATAGGTATGGCTTACTCGACGCACCTGGCAACCATGGAGGTTGGATAAAGCCGCCGGATGACAAGACTTGGCATCACGCAATTTCATCGGGTTTCATTTGAATTAGAGAGAGAGTGGCCTGTTATTTAAGAAGTCTGATAAGGACGCTCATCATCTCTTCCTCGGTTTTTATTCCTCTTGACTTTTTCGATTTAAATTTGTACAAACTAGTGGATAATCAGAGGTAGCAATCAACCAGACTCCTACCCAGTCACCGTTCGCTGCACTTTAGCGGGTGGCAGGTATCTTGTGGCGAAGCCACCCTGAGCGCAGCGATTCCTTGACTGCCCCCGGAATTCTCTCTCGTGGCACCATCGATGATCGTCACCCTGGAATTTTCTCTCTTACTCGTTTCTATTTCTATTGAACACTTTGATATAAATTTGTAGACACTAGCTATGGAACAGGAAAGGTCATTAACAGGCGACTGTTTTCCATACAAGTCTTTGTCTTTGTTTAAGAGCCGGGATACATAATTCCGCCATACTTAAGCCTCCTCGTCCTTATCCTTGATCGCTTCAATCACCTCTAAAAATGCCTGTGCGTCCTCCCTGTTTGGGTCATTTGGCCCAAAATTTTTGACCACCCCACCCCATAGGCCGATTGCCTCTTCATGTCGTGAGAGTAAGGAGAATAAGAAAGTCAAGCCTCTTGAGAATTCGATTGTCTCCGGATGTTTGGGTCCCAAAACTTCCTGTTTGGAAGCCAGGATCTCCCTCGAGAGCTGAAGGACCTCGGCTTCGTTACATTTGGCTTTGAAGAGCTCGGCTCTCACCGCCTGCATATAGTCTTTTAGTGGATCTTCCCCTTCTTCAACCCCATCGGCAATCCGTCCAACTTTATGGACCACAATATGCAGTAGATCCTGCGGATTCTGTCCTTGGGTGAGGGCACACCACAAATGCTCTTTCAAACCAATGACTCTTGGATCTTTGGAGCCATGCAGATCAGTCATTATTTCGATTAATTCCTTCAATAGTAAAGTGGCCTCAACGGATCCAGCTCGTGCATAGGCCATTCCCAGTGCTAGCTTTACTTCCAGGGTGTCCGGATGCTTAGGTCCACGGAGTACCTCCTTTCTTTGCACTATATCTTCGAAGAGAGTGATTGCCTCCTTGATCGTTTCAGGATTGCGAAGCTTGCCATGTTTATAGAAATTCTCCACGTCCCTTATAAATGCCATAAAGTAGAAGGCAGCCAACTCTTGCCCGGCAACAACTGTTTTCCAATGATCCTTACCATTGATCTCCATGCGTTTCTTCAAGATCATTATCGACAGTTCCATCGCTTCTTCGTACTTTTGTACTTGATCATTAGCGCATGTCATCGCTAGGTCTTTCATGACCTGTAGAGATAACTCGACATCTACCTCTGTGAAATTCTCTAGTGCTCCCAGTATCTCCCTTTGGGCGACCTCGGCTTCTTTGTGATGGCCCGATAAGAAAAATTGTTTGGCTAGCTGAGCATAGGTTTTTAAGACGAGTGGGTGGTGCTCGGGGACTAGCTCTGAAAGAATATTGACAGTCTCTATATCCATAGGAAAAGCTTTTCTAAATAGTGTCTCCTCTGGATTATTCCAATAGATTTCTGATAGTAGGAGGAAAGCTGGGATAGTACGAAATGTCCTTTGACCATCCCTCTCGATGACTTCTTGAGAAATATTTTCGGCAAGTGGTACGCTATCATCGATCCTTCTGGCATGGAATAGCACCTTGACCAGACCGAATCGGTCATTCACATGTAAAGATCCCCATATAGAGGATATCTCATCTAGATGAGGAATCAAAAATTCGTACATGTCTTGGTTATCTTCACTGGTTGCGCTAATCAACAGGCGAACTATAGCAGAGCGGTATTTGTCTCTATCCCGATCTGAGAGCCGATCATAAGCCCATGCATTTACCAGACAATGCATTCGTAGCGTCGGTTGGTTGTAAACGTCCACTCGAGTTATGAGGGAGTATTGTTCTAACTCTTCTACGAGATCGTCCAGAAATTGCTCGTCCCATACCGCTCCTGGGATCAATATTTCATGTAATGTTCGGATTGCTTCTTCGAATTGCGCACCACGGTCCAGTAGATCAGCCGGCTCGAATCGAAAGCCGTTTCTTGCCGCTCGATGAACCAATGTCAACGAGAATCCACTATAGTTGACGAAAGATAGAAGACCTAGGAACATTTGACATTGTCTCGTTAGCTCTGGATAAGTGACCTCTAAGGTGTCATAGACACAATGATAATGCCGGTCCCGTTGTCCCATCGCCTTTCGTTGGAGAATATTGGATCGATTCCTCTTGAGCTTGTCGAGATAGTTATGTAAGCATCGTTGACGCTTGATAAACGATCCAGCTTGGATGAGTGCCACGGGCAAGTATTCCAATCCTTTGGCTATCGCTAAAGCATGTCCGATCTCACTTTCGGTGGGTCGGGATTCTCCAAGTGCCGATTTAAGTAATGCGAGGTTACCCTCTTCGGGCGACATGACACCGACTGCAACGTGTGCACCGGGCGATAAAGAGCCGAGCTGGGGATTACGAGTAGTGATAATAATGAATCCATGATCGCATTGTGGAAAGAAAGAAGAGATGTCGATCTTCAGGTTGTCGCAGTTGTCGAAAATGATTGCCCAGTTGGTTGATATTTCTTCATCTGGCTCAGACAGCACTTGTAAAGCTTCTTCGGCGGTCTTGCGTGCATACGCATGTCCTAAAGAACGAACTCGTTGACCTATACTATGTCGAATACTAGTTTCGGAGCTAGCATCCAGAAATAGAATATGACGGAACCTAAATGCGTCAGGCTATTTTCACGTATGGTAAGCTACTTGCTTACCTTTCGGAGTGCATTCGAAGGAATCTGGATACCAGTTGCGTCTTGCCACTGCCTCCCATACCAGATATCACCATAATTCGTTGATTATTTGCATCTTGATCGAATAGAGCATTGGTCATGAGTTCCATGAGGGATGGTCTTTCTACGAAGAAAGCGGTCAAGGGAGGAAGACCATGACCTGTGCTTCTTGTCGGACTCCGAACTTGACCTATATGTCCTCATTAGGTTCAATAGATCGATGAGAGATCCTAAGCTTACACATAGATCCTATTGTACTGTAGGTCCCTGCCTCTGCGACCCCAACAGCATTGGTCATATCACGCTCTACCCTGTTCTGTGACAGATATATCTGTGTATGCGCATATATATCCCCGAATACATTCCTCGAGAATCTTTCAAGCGATTCTAGCCCACGGGCCACCGAAAACCGATGGTAAACGCTTGTGTATCCGATAAGATTATACACGTCCTCGTCTACCAGTCTACATGCGGATGTGGTGGACGGTAATAATTGATATGGGAGTGAGACATCGCTCTGTAAAGATGCGGGGACTGGTCCAGCCTCTCCCGCCCCGAGACTGAGAATACAGGCAACCCTTCGGTCTGGTCCAAAAAGGTCATTACCCTCTTTGAGACCTACTTTGACCGGATTCATGAGGGTATTTTGACATGCGATATATTGTCTTTCTTGCGTCTTCTTTCCGATTTTTACCGGAGTGAACCACCCTGGCATAGCACAGGTTGCTCTGACTGCCTGGATCACAGTCATATCGATGGGTGCTTCCAGTGGGACTTTATACGTTCGAAATAACTGGGTCATATTTATATCCACAGTCGGGGAGGCGCACACAAACCTGCTCACAAGGTCAGTTACAAGTTCAATGCGCAATTCATAGAACCAACGTTCTGCACTCCCTATTATTCGAGTTATTCAACAGGTCCAAATGTTTTGCGAGTCCTTTTTCCTCTAGTAATACTCTTATCATCGACTCAAGACGCGAAGTATTGGTGGTTATATAGGCGTCGACTCGACTTAAGGATTTAGAGGAGATTTTGTGACCCAATTCAAGATCTTCAGGGTGTTCTTGAAAAGCATAACGCCAGATATAGGTGAAAGCCCTCACCGCTTCCTCAGGAGTCATCCGAAGGACACCAAGTAATATAGCAATTAGTCTATCCCATGAGTATTATTAGGGCATGATATATACCTATCGATCAATTTAACTTACCCTCCTGTCCCTGCGCCACCAATCATATCGAAATATTGGCAAGGTAAAGGTGGGATGTCCATTTTCTTGGAAAAGCCGATTCGATTCATGAATTCACGAAGTATATGTAGTTGAGACAGAGATCTGATGTCGCCCCCATCTGTAGGAAAGCCATTAGTCGAAAAAGGCCGTGTGTGGTTCTGAGTAAAACTGACCAAGTACCAAGAGGCGTAAGCCAGACTCATCGACAGTGTCCATCGAGAGATATTTGGAATATTACGAATCACAGGCTAGATACTGATCGTTCGAAGGTTATCTGTATCTTGGAGGAGATTAAGTCTAGCATTTTGGGACAGTCGCAGGTCGAGCGATGCTACGATTACTGGTCCAGAGACAGGCGAACGCTGGATGACAAAATTCGGCCACTCGGCTCCACTAACCCACGCATCATTGGAACTTATCGTAGATCCTGCCATTTTAGCACAGAAAATGATTAACGCCGTGCTGAGTCAAACATACACCACACTAACAGAAGGTCCGCAACTCTAAGTAGGTCAGGTGCCATTACATGAACATAATGCTGTGGTACTATATATAACCTTGCTTTTATTCAATGGACAAGCTTGATATGGTCACAGGCCATGGTCGCGCCTCCATTACTCTGCAAAGAGACCTCTTGATTACCAGTAGCATTACGTACATCCACAAAGCGCCGTTATCGTTCCTAGAGTATAATGAGTAGCCTGCAGTCGAGTGATGTACCAATGCAAGGTTCCAATCGATGATGCGGGTCCCAGTAGGGGGTTATGCATGCTTCCTTTAGAGTTCTTGAGGATTTCCTTCAGAACAAGAGATGATAGTGCTGTCCAATTTGGCTCCTATATCATTCTGCATCTTCAGGAGATACCTGGCGAGTTCTTCGTCAGGAAGTGTCGAAACTCTTAGAATCTGTTTGAGTTGAGTCGCCAGCTGTGAGATTTCCAGAGTTTGACAGGGCCCATAAACAACCATATAGGTCCATGAAAAGATCGATAATAGTGTAGAGAGAGATTTAGGTAGGTGACTTTGCTTGCTAGATAGTGAGGAAAGATACCGACCGTTAGGATCGCCTTCCTCCTAATGGAAATTTGGGATCCCTGACTCGATTCCTTCCTTTGTTGTTCGTGCGCTACTAGAATAGCTGCCACTCGTTTAGCCTCGGTGGTCACCGCATCCGGGAGGTCGGCAAGTCGTGCCAGTTCTAGTCCTAAAGAACCCAAACAGTATCTAACTAAATCCAAGATACACTCGCTGTTCGTCAAGAAATTCACCATAGTGTACGTTTTCTTTTGGGGTTCCATCACGTATCCTAAGTGGCGTTGAGGAAATGTATGATGATATAAAAGCAGACTGACTTGTACTTGAACCGCATCCTTAGTCCATGTGAAGTGTTCCCATTGTTCTGGGAAGATATGTATGGTTTGCAACGGATGAATAGCGTACCTACCTGGACTGAGAGGTGTAGACTAACCTTACTAAGTGATATGACCGAAAGATAAAGAGAAAACTCACTTGACCACAGTAGGGTGGCGAGAGAGTGTCATTGCTAGATCAGCGAAGTGGCTCAACAAGGAAAGGGATCAGCGGGGAATCATGATTGTCGAGAAATCATAGATACGTTGTGAAGAATACTGTACACTGTGTGGATAAGAGTTAGCGATTTATTAGGTGAAACGTAAGACCCGGACCTTGCGTTCGATAAGCTCTTCTGCAATGGCATGTGCAATACCAACTCCTTCTTGAGCAGATGTCCCCCTGCCTAATTCATCAATCAACACCAGCGAGTCCTTCGTAGAGAGCCCTGAATCATGCGAGTAAAATCTGAGAAATTGGCTGGCGACGTAGCTCCGGACGAAATACCAAGGATCATAGAGGTCGTCGCCATCTCGTTGGAAAAGGTACTCAAACTTCTCTCCGAATCATCCTCATTCGACAACCTTGTGAGCAAAGAATCGAAAAGTCTATTGTAGAGGATTAGGAAAGGGAGGGGCTCAGGGTCGAGTCTCTTACTTGAAGCTGGCATAGGTTGCAGGAACAAAGCAACCAGACATTGCCATTACGGTGAGTAGCGCAACTTGGCGAATATATGTACTTTTTCCTATAACAAATCACCCCTGTGCTGCTGTCGATGGTATAAATAAATTTACCAGACATGCTACACCAACGGTTGATCATAGAGGTATCAGTGGCCAGTCACCTTTACCCAATGAATGACATACTTCTAAAGGAGATGAAATTTTGAATGCACAACAAGAAAGTAATGTGTTGAGACTTACTGGTCCTTGAATGATTTGAAAACAGACAGATTCGTTAGCAAAAACATCATTCGAAACGAATGAACCGGCTGCTCTGACACCCTCCATAACAGGATGTCTTCCAGATTTGATAGCAAGCGTTCCAGTGAACTCAGGCCGAACTGTGGGATACATACTGTAAACCACATACGTCATCTGGCGGTAGATAGGAAGCTCACCATAGCTACTATCTATGTATAGTTACGAATTTGAGTATGAAGTTGAACTAACGTTGAGATACTCACAGATAGAGCGCTTAGCAAATGACCAGAGCATATCCAAGAGTGCAACCTGCAAGGAAGTTAACGCCAGCAATAGAGTTTAGTGGAAAGATATCCAACAGCTTCTGATGCCTTATAAAGCACAGCGATATTGTCTAAAACACTCGCGAGAAGCTCTTCTATGATGCTGAGGAAAGGCCAGATTATTACGCTAAAGACTTCACCAAAAGAAAACAAACCTGGCACTGATCATGAGTGTTTCTTCCAACATTTCTCTCATTCTAGCATTCAGCTTTTTCTAGAGTACGATGATCATCAGCGAGGTTTAGACACAACTATTTCCTCTCTCACCAGATCCAAACTGGAAAAAATCCACTTTTTCCTTCTCAATGTCCTATCAATCCACTCTTGTGGCCACTCCCAATCTGCATCTTCTGTCACACTTCGAAGCAGGGAGAAGTGGAAGCCACCTCCGCCTTCTTGCAGATACACCAGTTCGACCGGAACTTCATATTTCTCCTGAGTAGTTTTGCCGAGGTCAAAGATGTCGTGAATATTTTCCTTGTAGGAGGCTCGAGCTACGTCTAGCAAGGGATTGCGGTCGGCCTATGAAGGGTGAACAGCCGTCTATGGAGCGACAGGGACAAACATACTCTGACAGCATACACTCGTGCAGTCACTGTAGCTAAAGCTCCGGTTGCTCCCTACCAGACGGTGAGACTGTGTAATATGACTTGGATTTGATACATACCTTCTTTGGTCCCGTGGAATAGTCGTTGAAATAGTCGTTGATGGTCTCTGCAATTTCACCAATTCTCGGATCTGACACAAGCTAACATATCTTAGCAGTTGTCCAAGCTGACTTTAGGACTTACCTCTCCTATAACCTTCAATAACTGGCTATTAGCCAAGCGGGCTGCCCTCCCAATAGCAGGAACATTCTTGATAATCTTTTGCAAATCAAGTAACTGTCCCATTCTTTCGAAAGCGACTTTGACAGAACCATTCGCAGGGCTTCGCCGGTCCACTGCCGCCAACCGAATAACCAGTTTATCGAGGTCGACTTTCTGAACCCCTCTGAGGGCATCCCGAATGGCTGTGTACGTCTCTTCGGACCGTACCAGTTCGGCGACCGCATCGAGCCTTGCATCAATGGCGGTCTGGGAGTTGATAGGGGACAGAAGAGTCGTGCGGAGTAACCGTGCGCCCTGTGGCGTGAATGTTCCATTCAAGATCCTGTATAATAGGGTTGTGGGTTAATAAGCGAGAAGCGTCCGGGTGGTTGGGTGGCGTGGTTACCCGTAGAGTGAATACACCTTTAGGCCGGAGACTCCCTCGATGAGCTCGAGATTCCGAGCTGTCTCTGTGTCAATTAACATTGAGCCTGATGGAGGTTAGACTCGATCGTTGTTCGGTTAATATGGATGCCGACCTTCCAGTGCCCTATACTTGATGACGAGTGTATGTGGTGGGTATATGGTGTCAAAAGTTGCTTCGATGTATTTGAAGAGGGCTGCCACAGCTTGGAGTGCGTAATAACGACTGTGGACGGTCACGAGCAAACCAGCTCTCTCGTCGTCCTGAAGGCTTAGTTCAGTTATAAAGTTCAGTCCTGGACGTGATTGTCAGTGGTCAGATGATACTCTCGAAAGATATTTCACCAGCTTCGTCATTCCAAAACCGGCGAGGAAACTGTTGAACAGGGACTTTGGGGAATTCTTCATAGAGATGATCTAGCAAAACACTCTTCAATCTGCCATCCTTTTGCGTCGCGAAAAAGGTATCTGGAGCGATAATGGTCGCGGGACTATGGAGACTCAAATGGAGAAGCGTTTTGACGTAGGTCTGGCAGTCTGCGACCTGATGCGTTCTTTAGCTCCATCAACCGTATATTCATTGTATATACCTACTTGTGTGACTGTGACGCGTCCAGTATCACGATCAACTGGGCATGATAGTGTTGGCGGAGGCCGTTGTGCATGTGGTGCTCTAGAGCGTACCTGCAGCAATTCCCACTTCCCTACCGACGTCTACATCACGTCAGACGATATCGAGAACTCTGTTCGGGTACGTACTGCGACCTTCGCTGATGGCGACGATGAATGTGCCAACTGCTCTCGAAGAGGACGCTCTGCTCGTCGCTGGGCGCGACGTAGAGGGCCTTGATCTGCCTGTTAATGTTGTATAAGATGTACTATTTCAGCTAGTTTGAAAACGAGCTAACTCATGATGGGATGACTGTCGGAAACGGGGATGAGCTGTGGCCGGACCATTCACATGGAAATTCTTAGCCAAGCCACGGGTGGGAAGAGCACCCTTGGACCCGTCCTCTCCTCTCTCCCTCTCTCCTCTCTCGTATATATATCTCTATAATGCCCAATTCTCCAGGTCATGTTCGTCAACGCCGCCCAACTCGACGTCGCCGGTCCTCGTCCAACTGCTCTGCCTCCTCCATCAATATTGGGCGTTCTGCGTCGCCCCAGGCCCGTCGACGACAGGCATCCCGGTCGTCTCGAGAACTTGCTGGCTTACGTTTTCTCGTTTTATCACATATCGAAGAGCTAGAAAAAAAGCTGGAGAAACTGGACCCCATTCCCGACCTGCACAATTTTCCGACCAGGGATGGGGCGACTACTCCCTGTTCATCGAACGATGTCTCCACCTCAGCGCACCAACGTTCTCGAGGGGAGAGCAACTTTGATGACTTGCCCACTTGGGATTCGGAGTTTGATTTTAGCGTAGAGGACCTGCGAACGTGGGTACGCGACTCGCTCGACCAACTTGCACACCTTCGATCAGAGGTCTCGGCACGTTTGCCCGACTTGGAAGAGGTGAAAAGCCATTTCCCAGACTTCGAATTCGATTTTGAGCTCCCAAATCTCAATGTTGACGAGTTTCTCGCCCGACTTTCCCGCATGGAAGTCCCTAACCTCTCGTCCTCGTTCGGAGATGTGAAGAGCCGTATTGGAGATTTGGGATACGAATACCTCCCCGCGCTTTCAGAAAGACTTTCCAACCTTCATTCGCATCTCAAGAGCAGGAGTTCGCAATTGCCGAACGGCTCCGAGTTCCGGACCATGGCTTTGGACAAGGCGAATACGATACTACGAGACTTTATTGACACCCTCATGTATAACGAGGAGGACTCTCCTTTGGAGAGGACAAGAGTCATCCTCGAGGTCGAGCAGACCGCTGTTCAGGTACAGCAGGCCTTGCGAACATCCATGTTTGGACAACGACTAATCAATTATGACCAACTGTAGGTGTTTATACTAGTATCCGTACTCATGCTTATCTTTTCTTAGGCCCTTGAAATGGCGGAATAACGAGCATGTACTTCATGGCTACAGATTCATACCCGCTTCAGAGTGGCCCACCTTATTATTATCCACCTTCCATCTTCACAACGAAACAGGTACGAATCACCATTAAATTCGTTTATCGATATACTAACTCGTGTGTAGCGAACATTCACACCCATCTCCTCCCCCTGCTTATCCTTGGACCCATGTTCGCTTATGAAGCGTATACCGCCACCTCGGCTCTGACCGTACTACCCACGACCCTCTTCTCCATTTTCGCAATGCTCTGTCTCATCACTTCAGTGGCTTGGCATATATGCGCTGGTTGTGCCTCCCCTCAAGTGATGGAGACTGCCGCCCGAATCGACTATCTTGGGATCGGATGGCTGATCTCCGCATCGATCGCAACAGTCGTCTACTACAGTTTTTCATGCCGTAAAATGGCATTCAGCATCTACCTGAGCATGAACATCCTCGCCGGTCTAGCGGGGAGCATCTTGCCCTTCATGCAATGGTTCAACGAGCGCAAGCACAAGAAGTGGAGGATTGTATTCTTCCTTTCGCTCGCATTGACTGGGTTTATCCCCATTGTACATATGTGCATGATCCATTCTGCACACGAAACCTATCACTATATTTTGCCCATTGTGCCAAGTTTAGCTTCCTACATTGCTGGCCTGTCATTCTACGCCTTCCACTTTCCCGAATGCTTGTGGACAACTCACCACCACGGCAACAGCCACTCTGTGTACGAAAAGGAGTACAAAGCCAAGGCACTACCTGCAAGATGGACAGATTGGGTCGGGGGAGGAAGTCACGCCATTTGGCACACTTTTATTATCGCCGCTATTTTGTTACATAGAAATGCGATTCCTACACTCACCAAGGGGCTGGGAGGGGAATGCTGTGATGTCTGGGGACGGTACTGACGAGCTATGTATTATCTTTGATATTCTTTTTAGACAAAAACTGGGACGATGGTTTCCGGATACCCCGGCTGCCAGCCCGATCGATGGTGGCACCATCGAGTGTATCTGAGGAGCACACTGGTAATTATTGCCTATTGTATGGCACGTATTTTATTCATGAATGATGATTTTTATGACAACCTATTACGCGTGTGTGATATTTACCTGATACCGAGTGGTGCTAGCTTTCTCTCTTCCCCAACCCCTCGCGTGCTCTACTACTCACAACAAACAGTATTTCTCGAAAGGAAACCTGTTATATGGTACATCTCTCTGTATCTGTGTTGTCGACTTGCAGCTAATCTCATCCCTACTTTTTAGTTCCGACCGCCGATGCCTTCGCCGATGACCAAAGGACTTAATATACCCACAGGCCCTCTGGCTTTGCTCAGGTGCATTTCGGAGTTGAAACTGGTTATGGAGAGAATATTCCTTTGGGAATCCGATTGCTGGTGAAAGGTGGCAATCGTCGGCGGTCGGTGTGGCACCTCCAATATAAGTGGCCTCGTTTCAGCTGATCGTAAACATCACTCTCTTGCCTCTCGACCATCCGTGTCCTCATTTGCCCCAACTTGCAGCTCAAGCAATACTCGCTCTTTAGGCACCAAACACAGCCAACATGCACTCATTCACATCTACCTTCTACGTCCTCGCTCTTGCTCCCATTCTCCTCCCCTCTCGCGTGGCAGCACATCCTATAAGGATCCAAAAGAGCACCCATATCACCAGCACCGCTGCCCAGATTGCTGTTACTAAAGCAGAACCCTCATATCCCATCCTCTTCGCACGCGAGATTGACTTTACAGGACCTGAGGCTGATAGCACTCCTGGTACTGCGATTTGCTTACCGTGCTGTTGACCTTCAGTAACGCCCCTTCTAGGTGTCATAGATAATACCTCGAATGCCGATCATTTGACTTCAATTATCTTTGACGCAGCGATTGATACTGAGGCCACAGGTATGGGTCCTCTTCCTTGCTTTGTGCATTGTGCATTGTCTGACTGTCATCTGCAGCCTCTCCTCGTAGTACCAAACGAACAAGTACCTCAGCGTCGACCATCCCTATCGTCGTCCCTCTTTCAGAAACCTACGAGCTACAATTACCTTCCTCGACCATTACATCGACATCTAACGAGCCCACATCCACTCCGACTCCGAGTTCGTCGTCGAACGTTGTCGAAATGCCTGTCTACGTCGTCCCAGCTCAAGCCGCTCCTCAGATGCTCGAGCAGATGGCATCCATCTCCATCAGCAGTGATATCGGCACCTCTTTGAATATCCCTGATGCCACAAGCCTCCCCAATCTCAAAGCGACAACCTATACGTCTTTGGACGCCTCGAGCAGTACCTCCACAGAGAGCATTCTCTTCAATACGAATATTCAAGTCTTGGTCATTGCACTCTTGCTCATCACCACCTTCGGGGCTGGCAGCCTTATCTACCTTTGCTGGAAGAGGTGTAAACGAGCCCATAAAGAGACTGCTGCCAGGGCTGCGATCACAGACAACCAAATCACCGATCAAGAAGCTGGTCTCGACATCAAAGAGTCTATCGAAGAGATTGCGGACTATAAGAGAGGAGTAGCTCCAGCTGGAGAAACTGGACCCCATTCCCGACCTGCACAATTTTCCGACCAGGGATGGGGCGACTACTCCCTGTTCATCG